TACTCTTGATCATGGGGCACAAATGGCTCGACGATGAAGGTCGTGATTGGAGCCTTGCAGCCGCCCATCTCAACCTGAAAATTATTGGATCACGAAAAAAGAAAATCAACTCATGTAGCATGTCGAGGAAAAGCCTTTTCACAAAAGCAACCGCTATACCTCAACTCCCAGCCGCTCCTTGACAAACTCCTTGACTTGATTGAAATCCAAGTTGAGAGCCACAAGGCCGCTCTTCCCACGCTTCCCAAACAGCATGTCGGGCTTCACCACTAGCTTCATGGTTGACAGCCATGGCTGCTGGCTCAGAAGCTCTGCAAAGTCTGTTGACTGTGTGATCTGTCATTAAGCAAGGTACAAAATTCAGTCTTTACTTGTTTTTGTCAATTATTATCTGGCGACATGACACTGTGTCCAATCATCATCAGTAGTATAAGACTGGAACCACCCAGAGTACAATTTTATACTAATTCAAACCGGGGATCTTAGATTTCTTTTGTACAGTTGCTTAAAATACCCAAATACCCCAGATTCAACAATCTGAGCTCCCCTGTCGCTGTCCTACGGATCCAAGCTGCTTTAGACGTAATAATTTAGACACGCCTGAATAAGCAAATCACACTACACGGCCAAACAACCACCAGATCTGGCCAAATGAATAGTTCAACTTATAGACTCTTCCTACCTATCACACCTACTGACATATTGGAGTATTGAACTGCAGCAAGCAACAATAGCTCATATCAGTTGGATAAAAAATAAAAAATCGCACCTTTTCAGGCATAGCACCAGCCTGCGACGAAATGGATCTTCACTCAACCTCTGTTTGTCCAGATCCCCATCCTAATTCCTAACACGCCACATTTCCAAATAATGAAGGCAATACCCTCGAACCATTCAGTGCTAAAAACCGAGGAATGCGGCTGCTTAATCCGTCGGGCGCTCATAAAAACCGGATCTTTACACTACCCCGGGCAAGATCACGTGAAACCGAGCACGCGGCGGCAGATCCAGTCCGGGAAGAGTCAGGGGGAATATTCAGACAGAGTGGAGGAGGCCGGGAGGGAGGCGACGCGGACGCAGAGGCACTGACCTGGGCGGAGAGGATGGTGAGGTCGATGCCGGCGAGGCGCTTGAGGTGCTCCTTGAGGAGGCGCTTGGAGTCGTACTCCCGGATCTTCTTGCGCGCCATGGCGAGGGACGGAGGGAAGGAGAAGGTGTTGGACTGGAAGGTGGGCGGGTTGGTGACTGGCGCTGGGCGGGCCGGGTGCACGTTACTAGTCGGTCAGCGAGAGGGAAGAACAGAGGATGGTTTCATTTATATATACCGAGAGATTCAGAGGCGGCTTTGCTAATGCTGGGGTTAGATGGGATCTAAGTACTGGTCGTTACACAGAAAGAGACACGAATTAAAAAAATAGTATATTCAGCACAGCACAGCACTGCAGTGCTAAACATTATAAAAATCTTAATTGTCCATTAAGGAGATCTTACTAACACTGTTGTCTGTTAGACTGTGTGTTGCAGTGATATTAATTGTACATCAACAAGTCCTCTCTCTCTCTTTTTCCTTTTGAAGTCCAAAACATCGAGGGTGGAAACTGTGTTCTTAGGGAGAAAATGGATGGAAATAAATAAAGAAAGAAGTTGAGCGCTGTACTACTAGTACAAGATCGTGTGTGCGTGTGTCAAATACCACGTGCAGGTAGTATCATCAACTCGTGTGTTGACCTGATGGCGGTTGTACCACTAGTAAGCGATGTTTGACTAGATGCAAATATGAATTGCTCGATGCTTCTTATTTTGGTCAAAAACGTGGTTGACATTAGTGGACACGGCTGGGTCTCAAACATTTATGCATTTCGAGTGGCACAAAAAACATACACTAATATATATGTATAGTAGCAGTACATATATATATATATGAACTGGAATGGCACCTCGGTCAAAATCGTCAAGCTTTGTGACCAGGCGGCGCACATTGGTCTGTACATGTGTTTTCCTTTTTTCCCTCTTTCTGTCTGATGAGAATTCGATGGTTGGTTGGCTTTGTGCTGAATTGCAAGCGAAGGAAGGGAACAATGCATTTGGTGTTTGGTGGCAGGTGCGGCGAGGAACGGATGGACGGATGGATGGGCCTGCTGACCGATGAATGAATTTTGTATGGGCGCAATGCAATGCTGGTAGGCTGACCGGTAGATGATGCATCTGCATGCAGCGGTAGTACTGTAGGTTGGTGTCAGTTGGTTAGGCAGCTACCGTTTGCTGTGCTCTGCTCTGCTCTGCTCGCTTTGTAGCCACACACGCAACCTACACCGCGCACCCAACACGCCGACACGTCGTCGATGCTTCCCCTGGCCGCAACCGGTGCATGTGGGCCTGTCTGGGCCTTTCGCGCGTTCCACCCTCTCGGCGTACGACGAGCAAACAAAAAAGGCCCAATTTGTTTTTTTTACAGCGAACAGGCCCGTTTTGGCGTGACCTGAAGGAGGAGATTCGGTGGGAGCACTTTGCGCTCCGATGATCCCAACGGCAATTTTTGCTCCTTTATTCATGATGATGAATGAACGACCATTAATTCCCTCGGAAAATAAAATGAACCACTATTATTTTTCTTACGAAATACCCGATACAGACGCAGACTTTTATATGCATGAGCGTATACTCACCTCTGTAAACGCGCGCGTGCACACACGCTCGACTCATATGAGCATCTCTAAAGAACTGAGTTTGATCGCTAAAGCTCGGGATTGATGAAGTCACCATAGGCGCCTACATTCAAACTTCACACATCGGAGGGTCTTGCAAGACTAGTGTACACAATAGTGTGTGTAAGCACCGAGTGCCAAGAGTTATTCAAACATCACTAAATACTAAGCCCAGAGCAAAGCGTCAATATACGGGTCTAACTAGACTAAGCACTTTGCAAAACACTAACCAATTCACCTAATTTTCCCTAAAGCACTATGGTGGCTAAAGTATCTTAGAGATGAGCCTCAACTCACTAGCAACGATCCTCAACTCCAACAACACTCAAATGGCGGGATTGAGGGGTATATGTAGCCTCTACCCTGAGATGATATAGCCGTTCGCAATAGACTACACTCGTACAACGTTCAATAGAAAGCTCCCGTGACACCACCAGAAATTTGGGTTCCAGCCACGTGTACTAGCCATTGCCGACCATTGGGGCGGACACCTTTTCTCCTGTGATTATAGGAGAATTCCGGTGGTGACTAAAACCTTCTGTGTAGCTTCAGTATAGCTCGCAATTGTTTGGTACCTTCACAAACCTTCTGTAGAGCCACTTTTTCCTCTGCATATTGTTGGCCTTGAGCCGAAGCTCCGATGCTTCCCAACACACACCACCGGAGAAATCCATCGGGTGTAAGATGACTGGATCGTTCCCTTTGTACACTAAGATTTTCTTTCGGTGCTCTTCTCAGGCCTATCACCGGACCTTTGTGTTGCATATAACTAGTGCAGGTTGAGCTTCATTTCTTCACGTATTCTCGTCCGGGCTTCACGTATTTCTTGAAAATATGAAAGTGATATAAGTAGATTCATATCAAAATGTAAGTTTATAAAAGTATATATTGACTATATTTTATAGCAAAAAAATAGTGGTCAAAGTTGTTTTTGAAGGCCGTGTCTATATCCAAAACGAGAACATGGAGGGAGTAGTCTTCAACATAACTCCTTGGCATTGCTTGAGGTGTTTTATCACTTGGTCTTCATGTTGCCTTTTGTCCAAGCACGTCCTTGCATCCATTTGACTAAATACCATGTATATTAGCAAACTACATTAATCCAAACGATCATGTTGTCAAACAATCACTAAAACCATATATGGCACTAGGTAGGTACCATTTTCCTTACAACAATCGAATCTATCCTCGTTGCATCGTAGACCCGACCCTCTAGCTCGGTGTTTAATTACATCCTAAGCTAAAATCAAATTATGGTTGTTTATGTTTACATATGGATGGTATCAAGATCAACAATTTAGTACAACTATCATCAATGTTGGATCTAGGATTGCTATAAAAGGAGTCTACTACTTCCTCTTTCTCCTCTTCTTCTGTCTTTGACCTCTTTTTCTTCATCTTCCTCCATTTTTTACTATTCCCAAATACCACCATTGGTCCGAAAAATTCCTCCTTTCCTCAAGAAAAAAAAAAATCAGCCACTTCCTTGATGAAAGGGAGAACCCCTTGTTCCCAAGGGGCAAGGTCCTCCAAACTTGTGTTGTTTCACGGGTGATGCAACAGCTAATCATCCATGACCGCTCGGATGGTATTCATCAGCATCATTCGAGCTTGCTGTGGCGAGGCTCCACATTGACCACACCATTTTGGCCCATGGTGCTTGAAAGTTATCCTTCTAATGACACGTGAAAATGATTCTTGAATTATTCTCCGAAGGACATACCAATGATTCGTACATAGCGGAAAAAATGTTTCCTTAGATTTTGAAACTCAAACAGAAAGCAAGACCAACAATTTGGTTTTAGTGTGGTTTTTCATCATAATGACACCCCCACACATACATACTCCCTCTGTTCCGCTTTAAAGGTCGTTGTGGCAATCCATTCAATCGTCTACATTCACAACATAGTAGAGTGAATCTGGACACACAACGTAGTAGAGTGCATTCAATCGTTGCTGCACCTAGTAACAACCTAAAGCGACCATTAAAGCGGGACAAATGGAGTATATTTCTTCCACGGATGGGTAGCCAAACAATCTCACGAAAGTGAAATTCTACAAAGTATAGAACCTGGAGAAAACAAAAGTGGAAATAAAAAAACAGAGAGAATCCCAAGCACCGACAAACGGCGCCTAATCATTGTTCCGCCCCTTCGATGATTTTGCTACTAACATTTCGTTTTCCCGCCACACTCTCCCGCGCAATACGCAGCCCTTCTTCTTTCCCTCCACTTGCCGCTCCAGTTGGTCAATCAAAAAAGGGAAAGGGGGAAACTATCCTAGGGTTCAGCCTCCATGGAGTTCGACACCCCCGCCGCCGCCCTGGCCGGCGACGAGCTGCGGCGGCTCCTCGCGGCCACCCTCAGCCCCGACAAGGCGTCGGTGGACGCCGCCGCCGCGGGGCTCGACGCGCTCGCTGCGGACCCACGCTTCCCCCTCGCCATCCTCGCCGTCGCCGCAGGTACCCCCTTCCTTCCTTCCTTCCTTCCTCCTTCCTCCAGCCGCTGCTTGAAATTGCGTCTTTAATTGCTCTACTTGGAGCTCAATTTTGGGGATCTCGGTGTGTGGATTGTGTTCCCAGCGTCTAGCCGCTTCCGGCTGGCATGGGATGTTCGCTTGTTTCACTGTGATTCCGTGAAAAATAGTGCCTTTTTCCCTTCGAGAATTAATACCTTGCGTGGCTCTACTGATGCGATTGCTAGTTCCGAGTGTCCGATGCGTATGAGCTACAGTAAGCTGGCACGCACAGCACCAAAGATCCTCCTGAATTTTACTGAAAGATGGCACTTACCATGTCTGGATTCTGTTTATGCACATGGAAAGACCAAATTTAGGAAAATCTTAGATTGTGGGACATGAATGAATCCACCAACTATGGCCATGGGTATAATTCAATTGCTTGCAAGTCATATGCTTTTTACTTGGGAAAGAGAAATTCCTTTTAAACATAAGCAGAAGTTAGTTCTTATTAACATGTGAAAGTTTGGTGATTATGTTCTTAGTTCTTACTATTTGTGATGTGGTTATAGGGGACGGTGATCAGGGGATGAGAGTCGCTGCAGCGACATACTTGAAAAATTTTACCCGCCGCAATTTGGAAAGCCGTCTGTGTTCGTCTGAGGTTTACAAGGAGTTCCGTGACCAACTTGCCCAGGCTTTGCTTCGAGCGGAACCTGCAATTCTTCGAGTGTTGATTGAAGTTGTAAGTCTTATACTCTTATATATCCCTCAAGATCCCTGTGCTTAGAACCCTGTTTTGTATGTTTTAAGGTTGTTTTACTAACGGCTTGCAATATCTTCTGAACAGTTCCGCCAAGTTATTGAAAAAGATTTTGTCAAGGATAACTTGTGGCCTGAGCTTATCCCTCAGTTGAAATTAGTGATCCAGAGAAGCAATCTAGTTAGTCCAGGTCAGCATCCTGAGTGGAATACCATTAATGCTCTCAAAGTACTTCAATCTGTTGTGAGGCCCTTCCAGGTACATCTCTTGCTTTCTATGCTTCTGGCAGTTTTTGAAAACCACCTGTTTCTCCCTCGGGTTTATCTATAGAAGCATGAACATATGATTGTGACTTTGACGGCTATACAGTGTAGCCCTTGTATTATACACAGTTACCAATTTCTTGTTCAGAGTGAAGTTACTAGCTTTCCTATGAATGAAACTGAAAGCTGATTCCTTTATTTTTGGAGTTCACTATTTTATCCTTATTCCCTGGTATACTCTGTTGGAGATGCTATACTCATAACTTAGCATTTCAATACACTAGTAAGTCTAGTATACTGCTATCAGACTTGTACTGTCCACACTAATTTATTTGGTTCTATCCACTAATGTTCCAGAATTCACCCATAGTATTTTAATATGTTCCATATTTAATTTTTGTAATTTATGTGTCATCTTACAGTATTTCTTGAATCCAAAAGTTGCAAAAGAGCCTGTTCCACAACAGTTGGAGCAAATTGCAGCAGAGATTCTTGTACCATTGCAAGTGACATTCCATCACTTCTCTGACAAGGTATTATGTTTGTGCACTCTGTTTTTAGTTAAATGTTACAGCCAGTTTGATCTTTTCTGTTGACCATTTATGGTGTGTGCAATAGGTTCTGTTGTCACCTGATGGGACTAACTTGGAATATGAGCAGCTCCTACTTATCACATGCAAATGCATGTATTTCACTGTAAGCCCTGTTTTTATTTCTTATTCCTTTTGTATTAACAATATCATCACGACATTTTCTTGAATCATGAACGTAATTAAGGCGAAGAAGAAAGCCACAAATTTGCTATCAGAAAACTAAGTATCATTTGCAGGAATATATTTAATATTGCCAATTATTAAACTCTGGGAAGGTAAATCAATGAAATGGTGGGTTGAGTTGTTTAGCTTCATGTCTGTTTATGGTGGTATTATAGGATTGCTATATTGGGCTTGGCTTTGCCATTTTGGTCTCTAAATCCATTAGTTGCTTCTCTGTGCATTGACACTTGTGGTGCAGCACCGCAGCTTATCAATTTTGTGGCATGCATTCTGTTAAGTGCTAACTTTTTCTCATGGGTATCTAATTGTTATAATCTTGCAGGTGAGGTCATACATGCCATCTAGGGTGAAACAAATTTTGCCTTCCTTTTGCAAAGACATGTTCTGTATACTAGATTCTTTGAACTTTAATAGTCCTATTGAAGATGGACCTACCATAAGGCTCAAGATTGCAAAGAGGTGTCTCATTATATTGTGCACACTTGTTACACGTCACCGGAAACATGCAGATAAGTATGTACTTTGGCCTTTACTATTCTTCTTTTCTAGCATATTTTCCATTTTACCTATGCAGCTATGCTCCAATATTTTCTTCAAAACTTATGCTCCGATGTTCTCAGCCAGATGCCACATATTGTCAACTGTGCAATCAAACTATCGAAACAAAGCATTCACTTAAGTGTAAGTTCTATATCTCAAAGAATTTAATTATTTGTGCAAAAAGATGGAGACTAGCATTCTGAGTCAATGCTGACATTCCAGATTAATGATTGTTCCAATAATTGTTTATAATTCTTATTGGATTAGATTTAGATCCTAAGATGGCCAAATGATTGCAGAAACTTGACTCTCTCCCCAATCGGATTTTTTCATTAGCATTTGATGTAATTTCTCGAGTTTTGGAAACAGGACCGGTAAGTATCTGCACCAAATAGTTGAGATGATAATTCTCTCAAATGTTCACAAATTGATGTCCATCTGCTCCCTTGTTTGAAGGGATGGCGACTAGTTTCACCACATTTTCTTCACTTCTTGATTCAGCAATTTTTCCAGCATTAGCGTTGAATGAGAAGGTTAGCTCCCTATCTTTTGGTCATAAATAACACCATACCCAATATGCACTTCTTTTGTCCTAAGTCCTAACTTTTGTCTATAATAGGATATAGCAGAATGGGAGGAGGATACTGATGAGTATATGCAAAAGAATCTTCCTTCTGAACTTGTAAGGACAGGATTCAGCGTTTCTAGTTTTTTTTTCTGGTGTTCCTTCTGTTGCTGATATATTTATTGGCAGGATGACATTTCAGGATGGACTGAGGATTTGTTCACTGCCAGAAAAAGTGCAATCAATTTACTTGGTGTTATAGCTCTGTCAAAGGTTGTGATTCATTTTTTATTCTAGTTTGTTGAACACACATAGTACTGAGTTCAGGCTGAGCAAAACATTTTAAAAGATTGTTTTGCTATATTGTAATCCCGATTTCAGTGGCTACATGCACAATCTTCCAAGTTCATACACATTTGCTATTTTTCACTGAACCATGTAGTTTATTGAATTAAAATAAAATGCGGAGCTGGTGCTATCATTTACTTACATTCTTTTTTGGTTTCAGGGTCCACCAGTTGCACCTGCAGCATCCAAGCGGAAGAAAGGTGATAAAAGTAAAGGGAAATCTGAAAGGAGCTCAATTGGGGAGTTATTGGTCATCCCATTCCTGTCAAAATTTCCTATACCTTCCCATGGTGAAGATGCATCATCAATGGAAGTGCGGAAGTAAGATCATAAGAATCAGTTGTCTTTATCATAAAAGAAAGGATTACAGACGTTTAGACATAATACTATGTTTATTTACTTTACTCTTATCCTGATGTACTAAAGGGTTTCATTTCAGTTATTTTGGAGTTTTGATGGCATATGGAGGCCTCCAAGATGTAAGATTTTTAAATTATATCCTTCTAGTGTCTTATTTTATGATTTTTTATAAGAAATGCTAATTCATTTCAGTATCCATCTTGCAGTTTCTGACTGAAAAGAAAGATTTGACAATTACATTGATCAGGAACCGGATTCTTCCATTATATTCTTTGGATCCATGCAGCCCATATTTGATTTCAACGGCTAATTGGGTTATTGGTCAGCTTGCTATATGCCTACCAGAGGTTACATGCTTTCCCTTTTTTTTAATTCCATCATCCCATAGGACATGCTGGATCAAAGAAAAGGCTTCATGTAATATGTATATTCCTGTACATTATATATTTGGCTTTCTAATTCTTGTTTGCTTACCAGGACATGAGTACTAGTATTTATCAGTCCTTAATGAAGGCGTTGACGATGGAGGATGTGGAGGACATAACTTGTTATCCAGTTTGTGCCTCTGCTTCTGGTGCTATTGCAGAACTCATCGAGGTTAAGAGTCAATGCAGTATTTTCCATTGTAGTCTACTTGCACCTGGAAGTATAAACTGATATATTTTGTCTCTGATTTTTTCAGAATAGTTATGCTCCACCTGACTGGCTCGTTCTTTTGCAAGTGGTTGTGAAAAGAATAAGTACTGGAGATGAAAATGAGTCTGCTCTTCAGTTTAAGCTTCTGGGCACAATAGTTGAGGGTGGACAAGAAAAAGTTCTATCCCATATTCCTGAAATTGTGTCTAACATTGCTAATACTGTAATGGAGCTCCTGCCCCCTGTCCCAGATCCTTGGCCTCAGGTAGTAGTGCATCTTTCTTCTGTGTGGTCAATATTTTGGTACTTTGTGCAAGGAGGTTAAATCACCATGCCTGCTTTTGATCTTATGATCAGTTATTACTTTTGTATTAACAATATTATTTCTGGCCTTTGGCAAATTATGGATTAGCTGATTCAGTATACATTTTGGTACTACAAATTGGACATAAGAATCTCAACCTACCTTGTAAACTTCTTTCAATAGAATAATTAATACGATAAAAATTCATTTGCAACTACTGACAGCTTACTTTTTAAAAGAAATGCATGTTTCTCAGTCGTGCTCGTATGATCACCTTTCATCATGTCCCAGTATTCCTGGTGTATTGGATTCCTTGAGGAAATCCCAACAACACTATTTAATATATCTGCTATGTAGGTTGTTGAACAGGGTTTTGCAGCCCTGGTAGCAATGGTTCAAGCTTGGGAGAACTCTGCACCAGATGAAAACAAGACACATGAAAAGAGGGTCTGGCAGTCAGGCCAGTCTGCTATTGCTGAAACAATTTCATTACTGTTACAAAAAGCTTGGTTGTTGCAAGTTGACAATATGGTATGTTAGGTTTGCTGTTGACCTGTTGTCTTAGTATTCATGCAGTGAAATTTGCTTGACTGTTTTCAACATTCATTTCAGGAGAACATCGGTTCTGCATTGCCACCTCCGTCATGTGTAAATGATGCTTCTGTGTTACTTGAGTTTGTCATGAGTTCTGTTACTTGCATGGAAGAAACTGCAAGTATGAAGGTCTTTGAGCTGGTAGCTATATGGGCTGACACTATTGCTAACTGGGACTCCTGGGAGGAGATGGAGGATGAGGGGGTTTTCAACGCAATTAAAGAAGCTGTCAATTTCCACCAAAGATTTGATCTTGACGGGTTTTTCCTGAAAATGCTTCCAACGCAGACTGAAAATGCTTCACAGAGTTCAGTCATTGGTCGGGTTTCTAATTTTGTGACAAGGGCAATTGCAGCTTACCCATCTGCAACATGGAGGGCATGCTCATGCATCCATACACTACTGCACGCTCCAAATTTCTCCCTTGGAACACAAGATGCTAGAAAGACTATTGCTGAATCCTTTGCACAAGCAGCATTTTCCCGCTTCAAGTCTATATCTGACAGTCCTGCTGGGCTATGGAAACCACTATTGTTGGCAATATCTTCATGCTACATTTGTTATCCAGATGCCATTGAACAAGTCTTGAACAACTT